TGAGTATTTTTGTTTTGATCAGGAAAGCCTCCAAGATTCACATACTTGCTTGATCTGTTTTTCATTCGTTCTTATTCTCGTGATTGATAACTTGTTTTTGAATTATCACGGTCAGCACTATACCTTTTCAACTTCAATTTAGGAATTGGTGAGTTATATTTCGGAAAAAATAATCTCGATTTCAGAATTGGTTAGTTTGAATTCAGAAATGGTAAACTCAATTTCAGAATCGGTGAGATGAATTTCAGAGAAAGTCCATTCAATTTCATAAATGGTAAGTTGTATTTCATAATTGGTTGGTGCAATTTCAGAAAATAAATCTTTATATTTGTTTGAAATGTTTCCAATCGCATGTGACATTAACAAACCATATTTAAAATATTCAACTTTTCAAAAACAATTCAATAACATAATTATAATCTCAATTTGATCCACAGATGTCTTCCATCCGAATCGCAGAAGGATAGTAGCGTTGCACATGATTATAAGAATGCAAATACATTTGAGGTGTTATCATTTTCATTGAATGATCTGCACATTCTTCAAGACATCGCAGTCTGAATTCTATCTGGTTGAGCAATCTGTTCGGATCCCCAGCTATGACCCTTTGGCGATGCACTCGCAAAAAGCTCTTCACTTTCTGACTTGAAGGCACTCCATATATGTTCAATCGGATTAAACATAGGGCTGTAAGGTGCCAATCTGTGAAATATAACATCTTGAAATTCTTCCTCCATGCATATCTCTTCTATTCTTGAATGTGCAGGTGCATTATCCAGAACTACCACTATGGTATCTGCAGGATGCCCATTTCAAACGCACACTCTCAAACACCGTTCCATCCACTGTAAATAATCCTCTCTTTTGCAATCGAAAACATTTCAAACATATATAGGGATTCATCTTCTGAAATTGAACCTACCAATTCTAAAATACAACTTACCATTTCTGAAATTGAATGGACTTTTTCTGAAATTCATCTCACCGATTCTGACATTGAGTTCACCATTTCTGAAATCAAACTAACCATTTCTGGAATCGAGATTACTTTTTCCGAAATATAACTCACCGATTCCGAAATTGAAGTTGAAAAGGTATAGTTTTATGTCTCAAACAATGATATATTGTTCACCTTCATCCGATTATCGAGCCAATCACAGTGGAGTATGGAGAGAAATAAATGGTCGCTATTATTATTGTTTGAATGCTCACGAAACCTAACATTTTCCACGGCTCTTTCCTATACCTGGCACTGGCATGGACTTTGCTACTAGAGCACCTGGTTCATGCACAAATATATCACTCTGTGGTTGATTGCATATTAAAACTAAAATTCGAACATTCTTGAAAATTTAATAAACCAGATCTCTTAATGCAGGTCTGATATCCTCAACACACGAGTTATTTGTTGCATAGCATTCATATGGCACGGCATTGGTGGTTACTTCACATATTTATTTGAGTCAATTCTCTCGGTCGCAGAAAAATTAACATGTTTTATTCAGATCAAAAGTGACTTAGTTTGACTCGCAACATTTGGTTTTGCAGAATTTGCTTCCCAGCTAGCATTCACACGTCAATTTCACGTCATATACACGTCACCAATTACGTCAAGATCACCAAATCATCGACGTGAAAGAGACGTAAATGTGACGTCAATATGTCACATCGAAACGACGTCATTTAGCGACGTCGTTACAACGTCATTTAGCGACGTCGTCTACACGTCGAATAGTTACCAAGCAGCAGGTCCAGGTTTCGACATCACCAAGAAACTGTGAAAATCGAAATCACTTTTCCATGATCCTATTCCTTGATGGTTGGCAAAACAGTTCAAATGATCTAGTGAATAAAACTAATAAGCATAAAATTCACTATATTCCATAGTACCTATATGTAGACATTAACCAAGATGTCAAGTTTCAAAGGAATCTCAACCTAATAACCTCAAATTATTCTTGTACCTACGATTTGAGGTATTTATAGATTACCTTCCTCAAAATCTCAAATAACGACCTCACTACATCGAACAACTTCCGATAAGTTTCATTTGTAGATTTCGCTTTCTTGATTATTGACCTGTTGAAAAAGTCTTGCTGTTTGATAGGCATCCACTAAACTTTGCAGCCTTTCGAGGCGTCATGGGGTCAACCACTTCTACTGAACGAGAGCAATGCCTTTCCTCGGAATATTGTATTCCCACAAACATTTCTACTGCCTGGAATTGATAAAATAACCAGAGGACTGCAATATATTTTGCTGAACCCCACTTTTCCATAGTATCCTTGTTTTCAATGTGTTACGGGACAAAAACTCATGACGAACAACATCTTTTCTTTTCATGAAGTGGGTGCTTAGAATTATGATAACGTTCCCTCTGTCCAAACGCTACTCGTTGGTTGAGTAGCCAGTTCTACATACGGTATGGTAGATTCACAGGTACTACTTGGTATTATCCGCGACACATATTTGTCTACCTCTTTCTCACCTACACTTTCATTGATAGTCTTTAAGTTTCATCGCATGTCTCTGCTAAATCTATCATTTTAAATTTGGGAACATCTTTAGAATTGCCAACTTTATAAATTTCATTCGGATAATCTCAATTGTTTTATTCATGAACTTATTATCGTCTGTCTTTTTCTCTCAAACTTTTAAGAATGGTCACACTGGACGGAAATCGAAACGTCCAAGACGAAGAAGGTTCATCATTTTTCGGGTAAAAATTGGTTCATTGCTTTTCGCCATCTTTTGTTTATATTTGTTGAGAGGTTTTGGTGATTTTGACGAATTCTGAGTATCCGTCGATATTTGTGGCTTACACAACTCTCTTTTCGGTGATAAGTCGAACCATTACACAACTATTGTGGATTTCCTATTGTTGAACTGGTGAGTCTAGATCTTGACATATCGGCGTCCTCTGTTATTTCATTCCACCATCTTTCAGAGTTTCGAAGTTTGATATACTCCATGGCATTGGAATAAATGCCAAATTAATATTCAGCCCTCAACTGACAGCTTTAGAGGTGAGTTATTCTTCTATAAAACACCAGTTTTCTATTTTGTATTATAATAGGATTGTGTCTGAGTATTTCGTAACATTTTAGGGCTGCACCGCTTGTGCAACGCTTGCATTCTTCCCCTGCTGCACTCCACTGCTTACTCGATTCGATTAGGCACCTAGGTAACCTCATTGGATAGAACTGTGAATGGTTATACAATATAACTTGGGTGGAGTCGACGATTGTATGCAGTACGATAGCTGAAGTTCTAATGAAGCTGGATGAGTATTAACCATCTATTTTATTTATGTTTATACATAATCGTGATTATACCACTTGCGTTCAAGGGTATGGTGCACCATAATACCGCTCGTACTTATGGGTCGAATGTCTATAGTATATTGGAATTACCTAAATGATTCATACCAAGATAATGCTAATATGAAATAATATTGATAGAGTGATTATATAATAATAGTAATAAGAGAAACGACAGTTCATAGATTATATATAATTCATATATACACTTGTAAACCCATTATAGCTATAATTGGTACCAAAAGGGGGTTAGTCGCACAGCATTATACCACAGTTACACCCCATATAAGATTATGTCTTGTCGTTACTTCATTTATACAAAAAAAAGCATCGATTATTGATAGTAAGTTCATGTCCTATAATACTAATTATTGTTAGCTATTTCCTTTTGAAATAAATGATTTTCACTGGTCAGATATCTTCCCGTTTGGTTATCGTTTGCCTGATTCTTTGGTGACACAGGGTTATTACATTCAAACGGGTGGCGCGTTATAAATAAATGTTTAATTTTTGAATTCAGATTTGCAACTCACTCCCTCACCACTGAGTAACCGGCGACCCCTGGCCACAGAATTAGACAATCGGTGGTTTTAAGTTATTTCGAAAGCCTCTATATATATTTGATTTGATTGAATTTGAGAATTCGATACCTGTCAAGATCGTATTTACATTTATCACATCGATATGGAAAAACCCGTTTCAAATGACCCAACATCACGAATCCGCCATTACAACATTCGATGAACTGGATCACGTATGCACATATGATTACGACAAACTGTGCTACGACGATGGCCGATAGGGGTAGCGTAGCGATGGCATAGTACGAAACGAAGACACACGAAGCCATGGAGCACGGATTGACCAATCATAAGCATCTGTATGTCTTGACGAGGCGCGCCAATATAAAACATGTATAGGCACCTGGTATAACCATATTTGTATACATTTAATAAATTCTTGAATCTTTCGTATCTGTTTCCAAGTTATCTCTATCAGGGTGTTTTTTATTAATATTTGTTCCACATATTTCACCACTTAGGTTTATCCATGTCGGGTATACGTGAATACTTTACTAAGGTAGGTACCTCTTTTATTTTGACAAGCGTTTAATCATGAGTCCTGGATATGCAGTTCATGGAGTAATTTCTTCGAAATAAAACAACATGATTGGTGCAGATTTTACGTGTAAATGACGTCAAATGACTTCTATCAGATTCGTTTTTGGAACACGTCAAAATCACGTCATTTATTGGTCGAATCTTGACGACGACCAATTGCCACCTATTTTCCACTTCGATTCGACGAGAATTGACGTCACCCTGCTGGCTGGGTTATTGTCAAACAATGTGTCACTCTTGATCCTGATCAAACAATCTACTATTTTCAACAAATCGTAGATTCCATATCATTTCATTGGTCATCATCTAAGTAAATGGAATGAGAAAACAATGTCACAGCATATAATTCCCAAGTGCTAGTCACGATGAAACATTTCAGATTACTTTAGTCGCGTTACTCTCTTTTTCATTATTTTCATCCCATTTTGATGATAAGCATCGCGAAGTCGTTCTCTATTATCATAAGTACACCGCATATCTCCTGGAATGTTCCAAGACTGCGAAAATGCTTCTCTTTGTCCTAAAATAAACGGGAAACCATTTTCTTAATGAACTGAAAATGAGTTACGGCTCGACGCGCTTCTCTTTTAAAATGCAACGAGAACACTCTGGAATATTTCGAATATACGACATAAGTTACTACCCTCTGGTAGTCGGGTACAGCAAGGAATGTGAGAAGGAAGTAAGGTGATTGATATGTTTTCAAAGATTCTCCGTTTACTGACATCCACAATATTCCCAATGCTCACAGCTCACAGATAGTTTCCAGGTATGAATGGAATCATGTAAATCACAAGCGTGATATTTCAAACAAAAAAATATACCGCAACATATATCGTTTATTATGCTCTTCCTAACGCACAGGATGATTGTTTTTATCTTACTCTATAGCAATCTCAGTTGATATTGGTCTAACAGAAGCGTTCAAATAGGCAAAAATTGAGTATTTTTTATGGGCATTCAAGATCAATTACTAGATGATACAAAAAACCATCCTGAACCCAACAATTTTCCAATAACTTTTAATTTACGAATGGGACACCCTGTAATTAAACTATTTAATCGGAAGAGCTAATTCTTCTGGTTTCTAATTCAGTGTGTCCCATTTCAAACGTCCCCCTGTATAATTCAGCTATTATTAGTGCGACCTTTACCAAATTTGGACCAGTATGAATTACGATATGTTATATTTCCAGAGCCGAATGTCATTTTAGACAGTATCATGCCATATTATTTATATTGAGAAAGGGTTATTATTTTTATGAAATCATATAAGGAATCTAGAGGAAAACTTACCGCATGATATTGTTCTTGATGGTTTCAAACCTTGATTAATGATTACTATGATGGATTTAAAAAAAATCAGGCATATCTGGAGAGCATTTTTGCGAATGTAACAATCAGGGTGAATTTTCAACAATGTGATGAGTATCTACTGGGGAACGTTGAGTCCAACATGAAATCGTATATATCTTGATTTTTCTGCTTTTAAATTATGATTTTCCACCTTCCGTAACCATTGAACGTTCCTAAATTTGCAGTTGATCTGAATTCAGTATTTTTCCGAGGCTGGAAATGATAAAAATGGAACCAATCCTGTTCATCTAGAATGATGTAATTTTTCGTATATCGAGGTTTGAAAGCATGAGGAATAATAATAGTCTTCTCGCAAAAGTGTTCTTCATATGATTTCATTAAAATCGCCCTTTTTTCACATGTTGTGTGTTCAAGAATTTTGTGGAAATCTTATCGTGTGTGGAGCTTTTACATTTATTTTAGGGATATCTTAACGTGTGCTCTGAAGGATGAAAAATGGGATACAGTATCGGAACTAGGGGATTCTGAATATGGAAAAGTGGTACCTACTTTATGGTATTTTCTAATTCTTGTTGTTGTTCATCAGGTTACGACATTTTCATTGTACCAAAATGAGCTATATATACATATATATCGTATGTATGTATGTATCGGCTGGTTACAAAAAAAACCGGAAGTTTTTATTTTCCTCGTGGTTTCATCATTTCTCAACCGAATTCGAATTTCTTGGCGTCGTTTCATAGCTAAAGGGCTATAGTATACAGTGAAATATTTGAAAATTCCATAATGAACAAAAACAAAATGGCGGATTCTACCAAAGTATTGTCATTTACAAAAACCGCTGGGGAAAATGAAAATCAGATTTTTCCAACCTGTACCGATGTCATCTCAGGTTATTCATTTCTGAAGAGAATGAGTACTCAAACATCGAAATCGAACAAATAGTCCATCAGTAGATACACTCATTTTTTTGCAGTTTGTTACGGAGTGAATGTGCGAATTTTCGTATGACGATTATTATTATTTTGCTTCAGGCTTCATGAAAAATCAATCGAATTTGGATTTCTTAGAGTTATTTCGAAGATAAAGAACTGTAGTACATAATGGAACATCAGAAATCTAATAATTGAAAGAATCAAAATGGTGGAGAATCTAGAATTTTTGTGATTTTCAAAAATCTCTGGAGAATAAAAAAATGTTTATTCTTCCAATCAGAACCAAGACCATTTTAGATCATCGATTTCTGAAAAGAATGAGCACTCGAACATCTGAATCGAACATTTAGTCCAGGAGAAACACGTTCTTTTTGGCAAAGTGTTATGGAGTGAAATCCAAATTCGATCGAATTCTGATAAAGCCAGAAGCGAACTAAAAGTGATACTTATCACGCGATTGGCACATTCACTCCATTATGTTTCATTATGTACTACAGTTCTTTATCTTTGAAATAACTTTATGAAGCCTGAAGCAAAATAATAATAATCGTTCATACGAGATTCGCACATTCACTCCATAACAAATTGCAAAGAAATGAGTGTATCTACTGGACTATTAGTTCGATTTCGATGTGCGAGTACTCATTCTTTTCAGAAATGGATAGCCTAAGATGACATCGGTAGAGGTTGAAAAAAATCTGATTTTCTTTTTCTCCAGCGGTGTTTTTGAATGACAATACTTTGGTAGAATCCGCCATTCTGTTTTTTTTTCTCGTTATGAAATTTTCAAATATTCCACTGTATACTATAGCCCCTTAGCTATGAAACGACGCCAAGAAATTCGAATTCGGTTGGGAAATGATGAAATCACGAGGAAAATAAAAACTTCCGTTTTTTTGTGACCACCCGATATACTATGTATATTTTGCTGCATATAGGTAATTCTCATTCAATTCTTTAGGAGTATATCTATCTCAGAAAAACATCAGCCAAGAAGTATATTTTTATTGAACAGTAATTGGTCAGAGTCAGAATCATTATGGAAAACTTTCAGTTGACTTTATAGCAAAAAATAACAGTTTTGCCTCATGAGGTGACCTTCAAAATTATTCATTATATCATTGTATCAAGTTGGAATGTACTGAACAAGTCTTGTTTCTCATTCCGTTCTCTTTCACAATGGAATAATGAAAGAGATGAGCTCTTGATGTAGCAAAAAACTATCCAGATAGACATGAGAACATCTTACAGCAAGCAAATCTTTTTTCCTACTGAAAATCCACTATAAAAAATCACATTTTACGTTCTATTTCCCGAACGAAAAACCGATTTTTTCCGAAAGCAAGTACTTTTTGTCTGCAGACACAAACTTTTTGTCTGAAATCACTTTTCGTCCGCTGCAGGGTTGCCAGTTGTGCTGATTTTTTAATAGAATTCTGATTTGCATATTGATCTACTCATCTACTGAAACATTTCATAACCTAGTAAGAATATTTTGACTCCCTTTCATCATTATATTGACCCATATTATTATCATTCTCTCATCACATACAAATATAAATTGCATGACATTTCAGCACGCGCTTTTTCATTGAATTTCACAAAATAAGTCTTAGGGACGTATACGATGCGAACTATTCTCGTTACGGTGATGGTGGATTGGAACCAATGCGAAATCGTATCATCAAAAACCATACCGACCGTGGAACGGTAGAAAAATAGTTATCTCTATACAGGGTGTTCGATCTCAAACAAGCCACCTCGTATATTTCTTTTCTCATAGTGAGTGGAAACATGAAAATGCTTCTGATTATGAGAAATCTCTTGACGTTCATTTTAGGCCTAAATAATAGGAAACGCTTCAACCCGCTGCAACCCGTTTGAGATAACCGACAGTATTCCCTCTTTCCATATTGAAGATAATTCGTGAAGCGACATCTATGAAAATATTATATGTTGAAATAACCTTATTATGCGATTTTCAAGTGCCCTAACAACACAGGGATATCCTAGGTACGTCCCTTTTTTGTCCTGCGGTACAAGGACATGATTGGCACATCCAGGGGATATCCTGCAGTGGTTGTCCAGTGGACATCCCGCCCGCTACATCCCTAGGTTATCCTATTCGTGTCCCTGGAGTATCTGATATCCATTCACATCAGAGTCATTGAATTTCATCAAACTATATATTGAGTTGAATTTTTTCGAAAATGTTTGTTTTTCTTCCGGAAAATGATTGTAATGAAAATAAAGAATGATTAATAAGTCTCAGAACTTTTTGAGAAATTACCATTTTTTGCAGACAGAAATCGTACATGCATAATGCCCCTAATTTTTAAACACCCAAGAATGATAATAATTATACCCAATTCCTAACAAAGTTGTATTCATTCAGGTTTCTGTAGTTAAGTCCTGTTTATGAATCTGTTTGGTTCATAAATCTTCAGGAGGCATGATAGCCAATGGAGCAAGGTGCGTGCATGATAAGCCAAAGGTCCCGGGTTCAATCCCTACTCGACCCACAACTTTCTTCTTTTGTCGAAAGGATGTCCCTAGGATATCCTTGGGATGTCCTAGGGATATCCTTTCATCGTACTTGGTACATCCCAGGGACCAGCGGATGTCCCTGGGACATCCCTAGTATGTACGTTGTCCCGACAAAGGACATTCCTGGGATATCCTAGTTTAAAATCAGGAACGTCCATGGGAAGTCCCTAGGATGTACTAGTGTTGTTAGGGTGTTTATTGTCGTAAGAGCGCATCATGGCAATCACCATATTACTTATGAACATCTCAGATATGAACCCATATTCATATCGTGAGACATTTTTTCATGTCACATTGTTATATCTTTTTTTACATAAAAATTCTCAAATCTTTGTATTTTGTGATGGGATTTTTTTGTGGTAATTAACCACGTAACGAGCTCAAACTTGCGCTATATACCTCCATCGATGACGACAGCAACATGCAAGAAATTAATCACTGCTAACTAAGACGACGTTTGGCTCCCTGTTCCGCACTCACCTACAAGTACAATCGATATCTTAGCAAGAAACAGCTCCAATAACGAATCCCTTTTCCCTTTGGCCCAATTCAAATGCAAACACCCCGTTGTCACCCTCCCCCTAATTTGTTTCATTCTACTAGCCCAACTTCTGAGATTGTTTTGTCTACTCAGTGAGTTACAACCCATTGCTAAGACCGTATTCAGTTGGAGTTCGGAATTCCTACGGAATTACAGTTGAAATTCTAACAAAAGAAAAGTTGTACAACGTACAGCTAGCTATCTCTGAATAGTCGGACTATGAGAGTATTGAAAGGGTTGTGCTGTGTATCATTAGAAATGAAGAATTTTGAGGAGCTGGTATAATGAGCACATACACCAGCGAATGTTTTTTCAAATATTCTGCAGAGAAATGTTGGGAGTATATG